GAAGAAGAATTTTAATTGTTTATCTGAAGTATATTATATCCGTTGGTAAATCGCCAATATCCAAAAAGAAGAAATGACCAGTTCGTCATACAAACGAAGGAAATGTTTTACCCTACGAGAACAATATTTATTACCACCTCTGTTGCGTTTCATTGCATTTCATAGTAGTTTACGAGTGTTGTCCATTACAGGTGTCAGGAGATCGACGCCGAGGAACCGAAAATAGAACAAATGGAAACGCTCGAGGATATGGAACTGGTGAAGTATGAGAGTGATATGTGCACGGTCGAGGAGTTCGAACAGATTAGTCACCAAGAAATCATAACTGACACGTTGGGAGAAAGTCAAGACAGCATGGACATAAAGGTGTCCCTTCAGGACGAAGGATTGTCAACGAACGCGGATAAAGTTTTCAGCAAGAAATACGAGAGCAGGAAATGCTCGATCGTTTACGAATGCGACATATGCAACAAGAGGATGCGCAAGAAGCTTCAATTCCTGAAGCACAGGCAGGACCACGAGAGGAATGACGAGGAAGCTGGAATGGATCGTTGCGAGGAATGTGACAGAAGTTTCGCGGACGAGGAGAAACTGAGGAAGCACGTGATCAAGGTGCATCAGAAGGAGAAACCTTTCCAGTGCGTCCTCTGCAACAAGTGCTTCAAAACGGAGGAGTTCTTGAAGACGCATCTGAAACAGCACAACAAACGTTTCACGTGCGATATCTGCGGGATCTCGAAGGTGTCCGGCTACGATCTTCGTTTGCATAAAAAGAAACACAACGAGGAGTACGTGACGCATTGTGAGATCTGCGGCAAAGGCTTCTACACGAACCAAACACTGGAGAGACACTTGCTCACTCATACTGGCGAGAAGCCATTCGTTTGCAAGGTGTGCAACACGCCTTACGCGAGCGCCGCTTATCTGAACACGCACATGAAGTCTCACGGCGAACGAGAGAAACACAAATGCAATATCTGCAATTTCGAGAGCTACTGGAAAGCGGCTCTGAAGGTACACCTTAAAATCCACACGGGCGAGAATCTGATTACCTGCGAGATCTGCGGGAAATTAGTGTCGAGTAAGGCTTACCTGCAGATCCATATGCGTATACACTCTGGCGAGAAACCGCATGTCTGTGAAGTGTGTGGCAAGGCCTTCAGCGTTCGAAAGTATCTGATTGTGCACTTGAGAACGCATACTGGCGAACGACCGTACGAGTGTAAGGTATGCCAAAAAAGGTTTACGCAGCAGGGTTCGTTGAATTCGCACATGAAGTCGCATAACGAACGAAAATGAACCAAAAACCCTATACGTATGTATGTTTGTGTAAGATTATTCAGAGGTATCCTGTTTTGAGAATAGAAACAGATGTATTAGTATATATCTAACAGTAAATGGCGAAGGATATTGTGGAATATTTGGCGTATTAGGAGATCTTTTCGTGATGACTGTCGCTTTTGAACTTTTTGGAACATATTTTACCATTCTAGATAGATTCGTTATTTAGAATACAGGATTATTAAACAATTAAATATTCCTATCCAATGTTTTGATATTATGCTTTTAGAAAGATTGAAAACAACTTTAGTGAAATTTTTTAGAGAAACAATATTATCAACGATAGAGAAAAGCTCAATATGACGGTCAACACGACGGTCGCGACAATTTGTGATTGTCATCTTTTACTCAGGTCTTATCCTATACTTCCCAAATCGTAACTTTTACAAAAGATATTTCCAGTAAAGCTTTTCTAACGACGTAACGAGATGTTCTCCTATTGAAAGAAAGTGTAAGTGCAAATATTGAATACACCAGATATGAATCTGTTGCTAGTGCCAGAGGATAATGGTAACACAGTTGATAAAAAGTTATATTGAAAGTTGTATCGTTGCGATGAAAACAAATTAGTTATTATTAATTTCACGGCTATAAAATGATTGGATTAAAGAAATAGAACGGTTCTGATTTGACAGTATTTGAAACTATTAAAAAATTATTTTTGTAAACGAGAGAAATAACTCAAATAACGAAAGAATACGGTAGTAGTTAAAAATTTCACGATTTGAAATGTGCCATAATGTACAAAAGATCATTGGAAAATTAATTTCAAGAGAAATAATATAGTAATCTTCTTTTAACGATAACATAATTTTTGACTTAATTTTATGATAAAAATACAACAAGAAGAACATATAAGTGGAATAAAACTTGTTACATAATTCCATATTCTGATTGCTTATAAATTATTTACTGAAAGTAAATAAATATCAAGACCAGTCTGTAATTGTAAGAAATATTATAACGAATATAGATAATTAAGTTTACTTATCGTTACGAATCGTAGATTTATTTACAAAATCGAGATATTAATTACGCAATTGAGAGATTTTTACTAACATAATTTTGTGAATTCTATCGCGTTGCTGATGTATCATATTTTATTTATAAGAAACTTTTAATGCATTCATACGCCTTTTTTTATATAAATACACATTTTCACGGCTAAAAACGCACATGCGCAAGTGAGCAGAAACTTACTTGTTTATTCGAATGAATTAATTTATAAATTTGTTGATAGAATACGAGTGGTATATGTATTCTGCATACATATCATGTAGTTTTGTTCCGTAAAAAGTGCAGAGAGAAGTAAGAATTTTATGCAAAAAAAAATTAGATAACATTACTGTTACTCTTTGCTTGATACAGCAAGCTTTAAAAATCAACTATACAGTAATCTCGAACTTTTTTTTTTTTAGACTATACGAATATTATCGCTGTAAAAATATCATAGATATGTTAGTTTTTACTTCTATTAATTATATTAAGCGAGTCTTTTTTTACGTACTGTAAATTTTTTTCAGAAAGAGAGAATAGGCAAAACATATAATATATTTATAATAATTCTTATTAGTCGCAAAAAAAAAAAGGAAGAATTTTACTTTACCATAAGGAAATTATACATTCTGTATATTCATAGCAACAGAATATAATAATGTCTTACCCTTGTAGCAAATTTTATTATTCCGACAACGAATTTCATGTTTTATTTTATAGAAATATTTTTGTAATAAATATTATTATAGTCTTATACAAAACGAGCCTTCGAGAAACACGACGTGTAAAGCATTCGAGAGACAAACGAAGAAGAAAGAAGAGGAGAGAACGTAGTAAAAAAGAATCCAACGTCGTAGTATGTCCTATTATATATGTCATCCGAGTGTATTTCATCAGATGTAAACCGAGCTAAGAATGTTCTAACAATAAAAGCCAGTTCCTCTCATAAAAAAATCGAAGTTGTCGTTAGATCTATGCTAATGAAATAAGAATCGCTATTGACGACGCTCTTTTTTTGATTTTCTTCGCAGATCGCCGTCAAGTTCGAGGATCGAACCATCGACTCGACAAACGATCACGGATAGGTCAGTGGTTTTACTAACGATAAAAGAAGAAGAGGATCATTCGACAACGAACGAGTGTGAAAATGACTGGACTGGAAATATGGGTTGCTGCGCCAGGATTCAGAGTCTGACGGAGAACGATTCGAACGACGACGTAGAAGAACCGAATGAGACAGAGAGCGAGGAGAAGCATCCTGATTTCTTGGCGCAGACGTTCTATCAGTGTGAAATGTGTAGAAAGCTTTTCAGGACGAAGAATTTGTACGAAGACCACCGAGTGTCTCACAGCGACGCTCGACCCTATCAGTGCGACATCTGTGAGAAATCCTTCAAGAGGACGAATACGCTGGCCGTCCACAAAAGGATCCACACTCGGGAGAGGAACTTTGTGTGCGACGTGTGCGGATACGCGTTCGTCCAAGCTTTCCAGCTGACCACCCATCAGAGACGCCACTTCGACAAGTACACGAGATACTGCGAGGTCTGCAAGAAGGGATTCTTCACGAACGCGGAGCTACACGGTCACATGAACGTGAAGCACGGCGCGAAGGAGCACGTTTGCCACTCGTGCAACAAATCCTTCCCAAACAATCGCACTCTGGTGAAGCATCTGAAGATGCACGACCCGAACTTCAACCCTGTAAAGCACCAGTGTGAATTCTGCGGCAAGACGTTCGTCTACAAGAACTCGTTGGTGTTCCACGTGAAGTCCCACATGGGCGAGAACAAGTACGATTGCCACCTTTGTGGTAAATCTGTGTCTTCCAAAGGATCCCTTCAGGATCATCTTCGTCTACACAGCGGGGAGAAGCTGTTGATCTGCGACGTGTGCGGCAAAGCTTTCCGCAAGAGGAGCACCCTAGTCGTTCACAAGAGAACCCACACCGGCGAGAAACCGTACACTTGCGACGTGTGTGGCAAATCGTTCACGCAACACTCGACGTTGGTTATTCACAAACGTTATCACACGGGGCAGAGGCCGTACCAGTGCGAGGTCTGCAGCAAATCGTTCGTTTCCCGGTCGTCGTTGAACGCGCACAACAAAGTGCACGCGGCGAACGTCCCGGTGGATCAAACGGAATGACGTTTCAAGCATTCTTGAATAATTAGTTGATTAAATAAAAAAGACCAACACGCCAAATGAGCTTCCAATTTGAAAGGACACTTCGAGCGTTATTGTTCGATGGTTGAAACGTTCGGGCGCTAGTTTGATTTGATTTGTAAATTTATTACGTTTAAAATACAAGATTTGACGATTTAAAGATGTAGTTAGAAAGGGAGGTGAGAAGAACACGACCTAATCAAATTTTATACGTACTACGCTACACATCGAAATGAATTTTCACCGGTGCCAAAGTTATATATATCTTTGTATCTCGTTTCTAATTCTCAAATTGTCGGAAATACCTATTAGTTTCACCACGTTCGGGTAATACAGATAACTTGCATTACGTTAATGTGCATAAACGAATTTATTAAGTGGGAACAAAGAGTAGTCTGCGTATAACGATTGCGTCGCCGAGGAATTTGTAAATTTGTAGTATTTTTGCAAGATACTTAACTAACGTTGCATGTACAATTTTGTTAAATAAAACAATCGTTTAACATCGTGCGAACACGATCGCCCCTTTTTTTTTTT